AGAATGAAAAAAAAAAAAAAGCAAAAGAGGATGCACGGCCGAGTTGTGAGCCAAGGTCACAATGTGACCTGGGTCGCCAAATTTCTGCCATTTTTCATTTTTTTTGTTTATTTTTTTGTCTTTTTCCTGGTGACCCATAGGGCAATAAAGATGGTCTTACAACATCTTTTTCTTACTTTTACATCAAATCAACTTTACTTAGTTTATATTAAATATTATTTTAATATAAAATTAAAATCCAACTAACAACAAATTATACCACGTTGTTTAGAATTAGCCATAGTTAAAAAAATCGTTTCGGACGCATATATTTTTATACAAGAATGCCCTAACTCGTTTTTGTTTTATTAAACAAGTTGACTTGGGTTTAGTTTATAGCTATTTTGATTTAATCAGCTATTTTTTTATTTGGTTTTTAGTCTCCCTAAGTGGAGTTATTTAGGGTGTGTTTGTTTATAAATGAACTCAATTCATACACAACTCATACTCAAAATCTAAATCAATTTTAATTCAACTTCATTATACACAATATTATCAATATAATTAAATAATACAAATCAATTATTCTTACACGTACATCAACTTTAATTCACTACAACTCACATATAATTTTAACTGATCATCACTTCACATCATCTCTCTCTTACTTCTACATTAAATCAACTTTAATTATTTTATTTTAAATATTATTTTAATATCTTAAATTCCATCAACAACTAATCATACCACATTTTTTAAAATTAAATGTAATTTGCCAAAAAAAATCTCCTTTCGAGCGTATATATATTTGTATCCAAGAACACCCTTAGTCTCCTTTATGGGGTACTTCAGTCTGGAGTTTTTTTGTCTAGCTTGTTTTAGTATTTTGTAGAGTTGAATCCTATTTAGGGGGAGTTCTTATATTAAAGACTTCATCGTAGTTTGTTTCCTTCTGTCACTTGACATATAAGATGAACCTTTTAAGTTGATCATCGGTTGTAGTTTTTTTAAAAAAAATAAAAAATACTCAGGTTTCATACTTATGCATGTCAGTCATGGACCCTTAAAGTTGGCCCCTCGGCTACTTCAGGAGTAAAATCGTGGGATGTGCCCTGCTGCCAACTATCGTTTGAAAAAAAAAAGGGTTTAGTGAAGTTTGTCCATGAATTCATTATTTCTTATTTTTATAATTATTAAGGTCTTGAATGAAAACGTTGAATTGAACTTGTTCCAAGATTTTGATCATGATCGCGAACTAATCGTTTAGAATCTGAAGATTATTGTGCAAGTTGATCCAACCAGATCTTTTGTTAATTTATTAAATAAGTCACCTCACATATTAAAGGGTAAGTTCTACTAAAATCCTAGACCCTCTTTTAACTTCCTATTCAGTCTCTAATGCTATTTTTCCACACTGCACTCTCCACCTTAAAATCATCTTTCATTTAACTCCCTATTATTTAAATAAATCAAAAATAAATTGAAAAATGACATCATGCCAACCACCACACATCTCTTCTTATTATTTTATTATTTTTTTCTCTTTCCACTACCAACTTTCTTATTTTTTTAATTTTCTTTCTTTCTCTTGCCACACTTTTTTATTAATTTTTTCTCATCTTTGAGGCAGTCTCCATGGTAAGCATAAAAATGAGGTTTTGCTGACTCCATAGTTCTCTGAATAAGGTTTCGTGCTTCACCAGCTTCATTATAGTACTGTATAATTCGCCTCCAAAAACCTTCGGACGTTTGTTGAGCTCCAATGACCGGATCACTTGAGATGGTACAGAAAGCTCGACATAGTAAAACATCCTCATCATCTGTCCACGGTATTGCTGTCGTTTTACCCCGTCCTTTAGGCTCAACTTCTTTGGATTTTTTTGAATCCGTATCGAGGCAAATGTTGTCGAGTCCTTCAACCTCCGGGATCATGGAAGGTCTTGGGACTTCAATGGGGCTACTAGAGAATCCAGTTGGCATAAAATTTCCTTGTTGATAAGGCATCCCAAATGCATTCGGAATGCCATATTGCGGCGGCATTGACCATATTTACTGAGATTGATTCATGGTCATTAAATTTGGTGATGGGGGAAAAGAAGGTTGCTCTGAAGTTTGTGAATTTGGATAAGAAGTCATTGGTGCAGGTACTTTTTTTTTTCAAACGATAGGAGATGCTCATAAATAAAACAAAGAGAGTTAAGTACAGACTGCCGAGCCTACCAAAGGGTAGAAAGAAACTGGGAGACACACTACATCTAGCGGTCTAAACAAACACCCCACCCGAGGTATCAAGCAGGTACAAACACCCGAGACTTGATAACACCTCCTACACCCACAACCACCAAACACACCACAACTACAACTAAACAAACAAACTAAACCGAAAGACAAGAAAACCAACAACCAACAACAGAACAACAAAAGGAAGAAAGACACTAAAAAAACCCAATAATGCATATTTCGTGTGTACCGTGAATTTACGAAAGACGGACTGTCATCCTCCAATGAGTTCGGCATATTTGGGTAGGATCTGTGTGGATTATTATCCATTTTGTGTATAGTTTTTTATTTATTTATTTATTTATTTATTTTTTTTTTGTGATGAAGATATAATGCATAGATCACACTAAACAACTGAATTTATAGGGGGAGTTTCATTGCAAGCTATAATCCATACATACGCAATAATGTGACCTTGCTTTTTAAAAAAAAAATATCACAACATTAATAATATAAAAAAGATACATGTGACCTTGCAAAAAAAAGATGCATGTGACCTTGCAAGTTGTAATCCATACATATGCAAAAAAAAAAAAAAAAAGATGCATGTGACCTTGCTTTTTTTAAAAAAAAATATCACAACTTTAATAATATAAAAAAGTATAAAATAAATTAGAATAACAATTCTAGTTTATAATTAATTGATAAAAAAAAAGATAAATACAATTATTGATAATATAACATTGATAAATATAATTATTGATACAATTAGTGAAAAATAAGATAAATACAATTATTGATAAACACAATATTTTTGTTGACAAATATTCTCCTAAAATAAATAAAAAAGAGTAAAGTGTTTTAATTTTAATTTTAGTTGCAAAATAAAATTATAAAAGCAAAAAAAAAGGTGATAAAGTGGGCGGACCCCACCCCTTCACGCGCATATGGAGCATGTAGGAGCCAATTCACACCTCAAACAATGCATCTGCTTTAATTACACGCCCCACTATTTCTCAATGTTTTTTTTTT